GGAGTGGATAGAGGAGAGACAAAAGAAGAAAAGCAACAAGATACAACAATCAAACACTGGTCAGGTCGATGTGGCTGGTGACTGCTTATCAGAAACATAGAGGGCCAGGGCAACCTGCAGAAAGGTACAGGGAGAGAGGAGACACAGCAAAATAACCATATGTAATATTGTGGTAGATACAGTATGTTGATGTAACCATAATCACTCATAAAATAAAGTACCTCCCGCCCCACCATGTTTATATGTTCAGTGACTAATTTAGCCCTATATTTTGCTCAGTGTTTGTTCAGTAGGCTAACAGATTTTTAGGACTTTTCAGTTTTATCACACAGTTTAAAACATGTTAGAAAATCAATCCAAAAAATAATCAAATGTAATAACTTGGATCACTTTGGGGAAGTAATTAAAATAGTAGCAGGAGGGAAAATGTATCCACAAAACCAGGTGCAGTCGGAAAAGTCCAGTAGATGTGATTTTGTTTTTTTTATTAATAAGCTTTATTCAAAACGTACATAACTAACAAGGCAATATAACATTTTGCTAGTATGGCCGGGGCACCGGGGGATGTCAGGCCCAGATGGAGCAATTCCTACTGGCCTGAAATAGTAATAATAATAATTTAAAATGTATTTGTACATCACTTTTCTAAACATCAGTAACAGAGTGCTTCCCAAAATGACATCACATTTAAGATAGAACAAGCAAGAAAATAAAATATCAACAATTCTCCAGTCCACTTCAGTTTACTAACCAACTCCAGGTTCATGAAAATGCCAAAAAATAAAAACTGCCAAAGAGAGCGCTTTTCTTACACATGAGGTAACTCGTTCCACAGCTTAGGGGCTAAAATTTGAAAAGATAGTCACTTAGAAACTAACAAAAATAACTTATCTAAGAGATCACGATGACATATCATAATTTAAGACTTATGATATAACTCGGGGCTAGGCCATGCAATTTTTTTAAGTTATTAAAATAATCTCAAATTTAATTCTAAAATCCACAGGTAATCAGTGGAAAGAGGTCAGAACAGGTGTATTTTCATGCTGACGTGTGCTTATCAAGAGGTGAGCAGCAGCCTTTTGAATCAATTGAAAACAAACAAGAGAAGACTTATATATACCAATATATAATGCATTACCTTAGTCCAGTCTACTCTAAATCAAAGCATGAATAGCTATCTCCAGATCCTATTTTGACAAAAACAGCTTAACTTACATATCTCCTTGTGCCTGCCCCCAACTGTCAGTGGATCACCAGCTTTGTGATGGACAGGAAGCAGCAGGTGAGGTTGGTGAAAGCCACATTCAGCACCTGGTCAATCAGCACAGGCACCCCCCAGGGATGTGTGCTCTCCTCGCTGCTCTTCTCCCTCTACACCAATGACTGCACCTCAGAGGACCCCTCTGTTAAACTCCTGAAATTTGCAGATGACACAGTGGTCACTGGTCTCATCTGAGATGGTGATGAGTCAGCCTGAAGTGGACAACCAACATCATCACCAAGAAAGCACAGCAGAGGATGTACTTCCTGCGCCAGCTCAGGAAGTTCGACCTGTCCCAGGCTATAGAGGAATTATTGAGTCTGTTCTCTGCTCATTCATCACTGTCTGGTTTGGCTCAGCAACCAAAAAAGGACCGGAACAGACTCCAGCGACAGTCAGGACTGTAGAAAGAAAAGATCATCGGTGCCAGCCTGCCCTCCATGAAGGACCTGTACACCCTACAGATCAAAAGGAGGGCGGAGAGGATCACTGCAGACCCCTCACATCCTGGACACAATCTGTTTGAACTCCTCCCTCTGGACACTGTTACAGGTCAGTGCACGCCAAGACAAACAGGCACAAGGACAATTTCTTCTCCCAGGCTGTCACTGATGAACACTTAACCCAGGACTGTGTCACTGGACACAGCAATAACCCCGGTACAATAAGTTGTAAATGTAACCATTGTATATATCTGTGTGAAAGCTCGTCTACAACAATGTATATGGTATGTGCTCATATGGTGCCCAAATTAATCCTGTCAATTTAAGAAGGTGCTCCTAACAATAATTCATTATGTGTATAAAGATTTGTTATGTGTGTAAAGATGTGTGTCCACAGAGTTTCTCTATCTCCCATTCAAACCTCACCACCATGGGCAAGACCAAAGAGCTGTCAGAGGAAATCAGGTACAAGACTGTAGACCTGCACAAGGCTGGAATGGGCTACACGACCATCATCAAGGAGCTTGGTGAGAAGGAGACAACTGTTGGAGTGGCTATTAACAAAAGGAAGAAATGCAAACTAACCATCAGTCATCCTCGGTCTGGAGTGTTAGACCCAGTTCTTTAGTTGAAAGCGTGAGAAGTGAAGACAGAAAAGGACTGTATAAAATCAACAGAAATTTATTCAAAGTCTAGTCACATGTAGAGCATTACAGTGCTGGACTCAGAGAATCAGAGCTTCCACAGGAACTCCATCATCAAAGAGTGCTGGACCATTGTCTGTAGTTCCATTTATCTTTATCTGCCCCGGACAAAGGTTGGACTTACACGTCCAACGTGAGCAGGCCAGCCTCTGCTCATGTCAGCTACTAAATATGCAAATCAAATGGTGTGTGAACATTGTAATGCCAGGTGGTAGCTAACAGAAACACAAACATCTGCTCATCTTCAAAGGGCAGACATGCTGTCTATAAAAACCAACAAATGAACAGTAAATACCAGACATTTGGTTAACTTCAAAGCACAGACTTCCTGCATACACATTCTTTAACAAATAGGAGATGCTAAGCAGCTCTAACAGTCATCAATGCAATAGTGATACATAAAGAATAAATAAATATAAAAAAAGAAACTTAAGTTCATATGACTCAAATATTACAGGAGCTCCGTGCAAGATTTCACCTCACGGGGTAAGGATGATCATGAGAAAAGTGAGGGATCAGCCCAGAACTACATGGGAGGAGTCTGTGAATGATTTCAAGGCAGTTGGGACCACAGACACCAAACAAACCACTGGTAAAACAGTATGCCACTATGGATTGAAATCCTGTAGCACCCACAAGGTCCCGCTCCTCAAGAAGGCACATCTACAGGCCCATCTGAAGTTTGCCAATGAACATCTAAATGATTCAGAGGAGGATTGGGACAAAGTGCTGTGGTCAGATGAGACCAAAACTGAGCTCTTTGGCATCAACTTGACTCGCCGTGTTTGGAGGAAGAAAACTGCTGAATATGACCCTGGTGGTGATGGTGTTCCATCCCTACAGTCCAACACAGAGGTGGGAACATTATACTTTGGGACTGTTTCTCCGCTAAAGGTACAGGCCGACTTTGTTGCATTGAGGGGCCAATGGATGGGGCCATGTATTGTAAAATCTTGAATGAGAGCCTCCTTCCCTCAGCCAGGACACTGAAGATGGGTCATGGATGGCTCTTCCAGCATGACAATGACCCAAAACATACCGCCAAGGCAACAAAGGTGTGGCTCAAGAAGAAGCACATTAAGGTCATGGAGTGGCCTAGCCAGTCTTCAGACCTCAATCCTATAGAAAATCTGTAAAGAAGACTGGACCAAAATCCCTCCTGAGATGTGCACAAACCTAGTGACCAGCTGCAAGAAACATCTTACCTCTGTGCTTGCCAACAAGGGTTTCTCCACTAAGTACTAAGACATGTTTTGCTTGGGGATCAAATACTTAGTTTACTCACTGAAATGCAACTCAGTTTATAAGAGCTGAATATGCTGTGGAGCACAGATAATAGCATGTACTATCCAAAGTATAGGTGGAAGAGCTCATTAGATGCTGAAAAGATGCTGATTGGTGAGAAATTTATGAATTTTGAAATGTTACTGCATTTAAATATATAAAAGAGGAGCCAAATCAAAAAAGGGAAGAAGAAAAGCTGAAAAGAAAGAAGAAATGTTTAGAGACAGGACTGGAACAAAGAAAGGTGGAGGTAAGCAGGAACAAAGGAAGGAAGTAAAAAAGCAAAGAAAGTTGAAAAAGGAAATAAAATAGCAAGGAAAGATGGAAAGAAAAGAAATATAAAAGGGAAGGATGAAAGAAAGGTGAGAAAGGGTGGAGGACAGACAAAAGAGATATGAAACAAAGAATGGGAGGAATAAAGGAAATAAGGATGAAAGGAAAGAGGAATAAAAACATTCTACCAAGAAGGTCAATTTCTCTATTGTTATTGTTAGAAGTAGTGGAAAATATTACTACTGTTAGATATACTATTAATGAGAGTAGAGGTAGTGATTGAGCTAGTATAGGCAGGGATACTGCAGTAGTAACAGGTGAGGGCGCTTCATGGAGTAAAGAGACTCAGTTAACATAGATACTGACTGATGACATGTCAACGGAGTGACAATTACAATTACAAAAAAGGAAATTTTATTAAATTTATCTGTCTATATAGCACCTTACAACACCCAAGGGAGCTCAAAGTGCTTCACAACAAAATGTATAAAAATAAAAGCAGAACATGTTTAGACACATTAACTAATAAAAAAGAAAGCAAATTAAAATTACACAAATTTAAAACCAAGGTCTGTAAGCAACTATAAAACTCCTGTACATTAAAAATTTGTCAAAGTACAAACAGAATATAAAATCAGAAAGCCTGTAAGCACCTGTATAGCGCCACTGATATAAATTAAGTGCCAAAAGCCAGCCTAGGTGTGCCTTTAATTTAGACTTAAAAACCATTAACTCGGTTTTAGACCGAAGCTCAGGAGGCAGGGTATTCCAGAGTTTGGGGGCATATACGGCAAAAGAACAATCACCCCACTTTTTGTACCTTGCCTGCGGGACACCCAGAGACAAATGCTCAGAGGAACGCAGCACTCTGATGGAGGTATGAATAGTTAAAAGATCAGTCAAATATTATATTACTGCATTTGTTGCTGCTTAAAGTGCCTTAGATTTTGTGTTACTCATTTATCTACTTTATATTTAATTTGTATTTTGTGGCATTCATGTGGACAGCAAAGTAAGAATTTCATTGCACAGGGAAACACGCTTCCTGAGTGTGCATATGACAAATAAAGACTTTGAACTTGAACTAAAATAGGCTGGAGCAAGGCCATTAATGGCCTTGAACATGAACAATAGAACCTTAAAATCAATTCTAAACTGTACTGGAAGCCAGTGAAGAGACTAAAGGACAGGGGTGATGTGAGCATGTATCAACCTGTCTTGCAGTACTCAAAACCAAAAATACAAATTTTCTCACTATAATTTTCCCCAAAGCATTGTAATGATTTACCCAGTGACTTAGAGTGAATAGAGAGCACAAGCTATTACAATATAACAAACAATGAAAAAGTTCAAGCTATCAACATGACCCAAAATGTACTCTGCAACTTGCCACCAAGGTAAACTAGTTGGACCATACAAAAAAAACCTCTGTATAAACCGTATTCTAAAAGTTGCTTTATGAAGATAAATTAAACCCTGTCCCCCTTCCTCTTTAGGTAAAAATAAAATACTTTGTAGCACCCAGTGTAACTTATTCCCCTCTTGCAATTTCAAGAAGAGTCCCGCCAGAGGCGATGCCATAATACTGATGCTATCAAATTATTAATTATTATAGTTCACCCTCTATATGACATACAACTGTCATCATTTACCCAAACTACCCTCCATCCTTTCCATCATTTTCTGTTGAGTCTGCATGTTCTCCCTGTGCCTGTGCGGGTTCTCTCCGGGTACTCCAGCTTCCTCCGAAGTCCAAAGACATACAGCTTAGGTTGACTGGCTACTTTAAATTGGAGGAGGAGCATGGTGTGGGTGTGTGTGGTTGTTTGTCTACATGTCAGCCCTGTGATAGACTGGACCCTGCATACAACTGTATATACATACCTGATCTCAACCTTATTTGTAAAACTTTCTAGAGAAGGGTTTCATACTGTACCACCACTGTAAGATACACTGAACATGCAACCCTATTGAGGAATAAGCGGTGTAGATAATGTATGGATGGGCCTTGCCCTTCATATAGTGAAATTTATGGCTTGGGTGGAACTTGTCAACTGGTTTTCTGTTCATGGCACCTAAATATTTTCTGGTTGTTACCTGACTCTCCCTGTGTTCTGTTTGGTGCTGCTTGCTTCTGTTGATTGCCTACCAGTTGAGTACATGAGTTTTTATGTTCATCTGCCCCAATTTTGAATGATGGCTTTGAGTCCACACAGTGTGATACAAAACGTTGTAAGACAACCTGCTTAATCTGAAGCACTGAAGCTCACTAAGCACCAATACTGTGTACAATGCCTTGTAGTCTCTGAATCCGGCTTTATGGGGTTATGACCTTGTTAATATACTAATTAATGGCAGAATTGAACTGCTTGTGCTTTTACAGCATTGTGTACTCTATGAAAAAAATATTTGTGCTCTTGTTGTATTACTGTACAAATGCTCACCCTGCAAAAGCTACAAAACCCAGTCAGAAATAAACCCTTTAAACCTATAAGCTCCTAAAATGGTCCTTATGGCCCTTCCTGCCATTGGTCTTTATAAACCTTCCATCAACATCTCTGAAATCTGACCTGATTGTAGCAGGGATGGACAGAATAAGAGTGTAAGAGTTGCTGTCCTCCATGTTGAAAGCCAACCCAAAACTTTTATTTAAATTTGAGGAACAAAAATCAAAGAGTGAGGAGGGATGGAGGAGGGAGCCATGACAGAGGATGCATGAGACCATCCTACACACTCAAGTCTTTTACCAGAGACCTCCAACACTTTGTTGGAAATCTGCTGTAAATTACACACTGCAGCTAACTGAAATAATCTGAAACCACAACAGGTGTGGTGAGGGCAAGCATAAACCATGAGCCAGCCTTCAGACTGGCTTTGCCACATATGATTTGGAGTATATAAATGCATGCAAAATGCAATGAAGTATGTTCTTCTTCTATTGTTTCCTGATATGTTATTCTTGGTACCCTTTCCTCACAGTTACCACCATAACTTTATAGCTTCTCAGTTCCCAGATACACTGGGCAAGGCACCCTTGACTGTGCTGTTAACTCAGTGTTAACGTTTTGAAACAATGTGCATTTTTCAAACACAAACAAAAAACCTGAAAAGGGACCATATCTCTACTCTAACTCCACTTCTTCATAATCAGATGTCAGTAAATGCAAATCTGCAACTTTTCTCAAGCCTGTGCATCATCTTACTTAATGATCTCTGTCTCATCAGACCCAGGGGTCCCTAACCCCCAGCAACCTGGAATATTGGATGGAGGACATCTACACACCAGGCTATGACTCACTGCTCAAGAGGAAAGAGGCAGAGTTCAGGAGAGCTAAGGTGTGTAAGATTGGAGCACTGATTGCAGCTGCTGCCTGCACTGTGATCCTGGTCATTGTTGTTCCAATCTGCACCATGAAGTCATGAGAATATCAGGATGGAGGGGTCCAGTCTAATAAATGATAAACTCTTGCTGTTGTCCATTACTGTTTGTGGATTTGTGTGTGTCCTGGCAATATAAATGTGTTGGGACTTGACAATGTCACTTGGAGGTTTTTTGCTTTTAATGCAGTTATTTAACTTCTGGTGGTCTTCCTTACCAGTATAAAATGCTTCTGACAGGTAATGTGCTAACAGAAATGAGTTCAGTAAGTGCATAACTGTATATCCATTAGTTTAACGGTTGTAGTTTACTGTATTGTTCAGAACTGTGTGGTATGTTGGAAGCTCACTGATTTACTTGTCTGTCTTAAACAACTGCAGCAGTTGATCTCTGAACTAAACTGGATTTGCTTATTGTAGCCAATATATATTTTAATTTTTGTATAATTACTGTACAGTGTATTATGATTAGTTATTCTGAAAATCTGGTTGAATGTGAGAATTTATCTTCACCAGTAACAGCAAGCATTTAATGAAATTTGTGCATATTTTTTTCTAGATAGAAGTATATTGAAGTACTTTAGTTAACAATAGATATACTGTATTTATACTGTATATAGAATGCAGATAGAGTATAACTACACAGCCAAGCTTAAGATATTAACATACTCTTTTCATAGCCTGGTATGCCTTTGTTTTGGTTCAGTAGAAAATAACAAACTTAGGTTAGCCTATTTATAACCCAGTGCGTGTTAAAAAGTAAGTTGTTATTTTTCTTATTGTCAACAAATCCCCGTCATGTGTTAGTTCATCCTTTCCATACTCTCTGGCTTCATTACTGACCTGAGGCACATCCCCAAGCCCACTGTTTGTAAATCTTTGCACATAAAACACAAATATAAGATTACATCTCTAAAGTTCAGCAATTTTATAGAACAGCGGGAGTTTTAAGTTGATATTACTTAAACAGGGCACATTTACATAAATACATTCTGTGACTGTAGTATTTCTGGCAGTATATGAAATTAAGAAAATGGGGTGGAAAAAGTTTGTATTGCCATAGTAATGAATGAACATGACAACTAGTGCTATTATGCGGTTCACCAGCAACAGCAACATTGTAGTGCTGCCAGAATGCTCTGGAACAACACTCCACCACTTTTTTATTTCTCCAAGAGGAAAAAGAACAGGCCTCCTGGCATAATCTGGTTAGAATTCATAATGCTGCATTATTGTGAGTGCTTGAAGATCCAGTTATTAGTAGAGTACAAAATGGACTGCTCTAAGTTGTGATAATAAAATTTAAGGTGTGGTGACTGATTCACAATGTTACTCCAGTGGACAACTGGCACCTGCGAGTGTGTTTTGTCCAACCACATACTGTATATGATGACATGGATGGTTCAGACACAGTTTAGCATCGACTACAGACTCCATTTACAAAAGTGACAGAATAAAACTCAGATCATCCAGACTGACAAACTAGAGCATGATCTCCAGGAAGGGCTGTGGAGACAAACACCAGATGTGATGATCAGCAGCAGAAACAGACGTTACATTTAATTTCAGTGATGCTGGGATTTAAACAGACTGTATTACCTGTGTACCTGTCAGTGATCAGCTGTAGGTCTGTATGACACAAGCAGGGTACAGGATGGCCAAACTTTGGCACATGCTGACTAGTCGCAGCCCTGTGCACAGCTGATGTGTTCACTGTTGCTGGTTGACATGTAAACCAACATGAAGCAGGAGGAGCTCAGTGAAGAGTCAGTACGTTTTGGAGTCAGTTTAACACTGGAGGGGAGAGCATCTATGTTCTTATAGATTTAGGAGGCATTTGATGACTGGTCATGACAAATAGTGGGGGGAGGTGGGTGGACAAATGTCCATTTTTCATCTTTTGGGAGGACACTGTCCCCTGTGGAGATTGTACCCTGGTTCTGGCTACAACATTCACCCTGTGACAAACGGCTCCTTATTCATTGTTATTCTGCCACACCAGAAAATAAAGTCAGTCTAACATTAGATGGTGTGAGCAATTATAGTTGCCACGGAAAAGTGTTTACATGGCTCTCAAAACAGGCTACAACTTAACCGTCTGTGTGCACACACCTGCATCGTGGGTGTGCTCCGGTATTTCATGAAATAGTACTACACCTCTGATATTCACCAAAGCTAAATGACAGCAAAGAATCATTTCTCCTGCATCATACACTGTAGGCTATTGAGCATAACCTTGTTCCAAGGCTTCTTCTCCAATACTCTTTGTTTTTTAAGGCATCACACATCAAAATTAAACCACCATGTCTGCTTTGCACTCAAATGCTCATCTTAAAATCCATTATTCCCAGTAGGAGCGCTTTGTCCATCTTGACTGTGACCATTTTGTTCCTGTTTTCACTGAGTAAAGTATGAATCCGTGAGCAACAGCTCAGCTGTTTGCCTGCAGCAAAACATCCAGGTCTGCAAAGTGATGCAGGACTTGTCTAAAGTGAATATCAATGGCACCTGCAGGATTATATTTCATAGTACACACAAGAACTGCCTTTGGCAGCATAAATCTTGTTTTAATGAGAAACCTGTATCATTACAACAAGATACTTTGCTCGTTTTTACAAGACTTTCAAGTTAAAACATTTTTCATGCTATTATGACATTCTGTATTTTTTGTAATAACATGACCGCTGCACATCTTGGAGTGAGTGCAGCGTGCACATTGTCTTTGAGCAGCACCTCCATAGTGTTATACTATGGAGGTAATAATAGTGATAAAAGTAAGGTCTAGACCTTACTTTGTAAAGTGTCCTGAGATGACTTTTGTTGTGATTTGGCGCTATATAAATAAAATTTGATTTGATTTGATTTGATTTATACATACATACATACATACTGTTGGGTAAAATTATTAACAAAGTCATACTTTAAGGTTGATTCTAACATTTGATTGAATTAAGAACTTAGTTAGTAGAAGATTGACACTATGTTTGTTGATTAGTTAACCTGTTTGTTTACTTTGTGTATG